CCAGGACGCAATCTAGTATTAAATGCCAGCTTCTCGAGCATGAAAGAATAAATTATTCTAAAAGGAAGAGGCGAACGAAAACTAGCAAACTAGGAACGGACAGCCGTACAATTGATAAACTACGCTAAGGCGAATGCACCGTAGGCAAGAACAGGAAGAGCGTAGCAGCCCATATCTGAACTACATCATGATTCATTCATCCTCAAATACGAAATTAGTTGGCATGTAAACTGCCCGACCTGATGTAGAGCTTGAACCCGTCGGACTTCCAGCGACCAAGAGCCCGGATTTGAGCGTCCGAGAGACCATTCTCAGCGGCAAGACAAGCGGCCCCTAGGCGGAAACTATGACTTTCATATCGAGAAGGGTCGAGTCCACAAAAGGTTAAACAACGACGTAACTCAGAATTGAAATGGATGATAGTAACAGGGCTCCCATCAGGAGAGAAGAAACAGTGGCTCGGGCTGATTGCCCCTTAACCGACAATACTCGAGGAGCGATTATACTGGACAGAATGGAAAGGAATCTTCGCGTGCAATAATGATATCGTAGGGCCGGTTGTCTGTGTTATGTTTGAAGCGAGTGAGTGTGATCTTATCCCTGCAGATGGCGGCTGAACTCGCAAGAAAGCTGATGTTGCAGTACTGGACAACGCTACTAGAACAATCACGGCTTTTGGTCGCTAGCTCTCCGACGCGGAAAAACCCGTATAAAAGGCTAATAAAAACATAGGGCAAAACGTAGTGCGGTGAGAGGCCGAAGAGTTGGTATGGTGCAAGGAGCGAACCAGTTAATGAATAACAGATCGTGTATATAGATTTCAGCTAAAAAACTGGTCCCTTTTAAACTGAAAGTCTGCACTGATGTTTAAGGCAGATTTATCTCTAACGGTAAAACACTTTAAGCTACTTTATCTGGTAGAAGTAAATAGCCCACCAATGTGTCGCGTTATGAGATGTCATAGGATTGCTTTACATGACGTTATGTGAGTACTTAAGTTGGAAAGGCGCACGTGAATCCCTCTGCACGCTGGATCAAGAGGTTTGTAATATCCTTTACCTTGTCTAGTACTGAAATGGATCTTATTTAACCTAATTTTACTGTCGTGAGAGATAAAAAAAAAAAAAAAAGCGATTGACAGACAAAGTCAGAAAAATGGCGCGGGAAATGAAGGTAAAGAGGAAGTGAATCATAACTAAATACCTTATCGTTACTGAGCCGGGGGGGCTACCCATTTTGTTGTGCATGCTTTCTCTGTAGTTAAAAAAAAATGTGTCATAGCATGAGAGTAACGCACTCGTTATTTGGTTACGTTTTGTTCTAAACAAAGTCTACTGGGAGGTTTTTTTGGCAGGTTAGGCCGGCTTTTATCGGCTTATCTTTAACAGTGAGTTAAAAGTCCTTTCATTAGTTGACTAACAGCGTCATTGATGAATGCGCATTAAATCTATACCATGTTGATCACTGAAACGCGCTAGAGTGTTATAAGAACGAAACTAAATAATGAGTGTAACCCTTTTTAAATAGTATTATCAGGCCCGAATGATAGGTCGAAAAAAACATTTTTTTACAGTGAGCAAAGTCGTGTATAGTTAAATTACCCCTATAGTGTAGGCTACTTCTGCTTTGATTGAGAAATCATTAACAGTTTGATAACGTTTTCAAAACGAGCTTGTTTCAGAAGTGTTCTCGATCGACGTGTAAACGAAGGGCGCAACGCCTTCGAAAGCTATGCGATTACAAATGAACCCTCTCGGTGTAAACCGTGCCCGAGATATGCCTTCTCTGTCTGAACCACTTATGCTTGGGCAAAAAGCTTTATCCTCTTCTCATTCAATGGGCGGGAAAGAAGGACGGCTTGTATTCTAACCAGTAACATTAAGTTTTCATGATCTCTTACTCAGGGGGTAGATCATGCGATTTAACTTCAGTTTCAAGACACACAGATATCTAAGATTTTCAAGAGCATTAAAAGGCATAACTCATTAAAACATCTAGGCTAAAAAGGCAATAAAAAACGACCAAAGACTTAATGAAGCAAAGCAAGCCTTAAATTCATGTTGTAGAGTATTTTAAAGGATTGTTATTTTGAGTATTTTAAGGTTTACCTCTTGTTTTGTTAGGTCTCCCCTTTTTGCGCCTACGTGTTATTTTGGTAAATTTATAGTTTTGATCTCTTGTTTAAGTGTGTGCTTGAACTGGGCTCAGTTCGCGGATTTCCTTCTTACCGTAGCAGACGTTTTAATCGATTGATATGGTTGAGAATAATTAGTTTGATAGGTGGTCATGTTTGGGTTGGTAAAACTGACCTTGAGCTCTACCCATACTGAAGATCCTGTTTGTGCGCGTGATTTTCGTGCGCGGCTCGATCATCGGCGTTTAATTGGTTCCTTGGTGCTCGACAAGTGCTTCGGAGCGAGCCACCCAATTTCCCCCTCTGCAAAACAACGAATGCAATATGGAAACTCCCATGGTCAGCTAACCCAAACATGTCTGTGATTTTCGCATTTAACACGTGGACACCCCTTGCAAAAAGTAGAAGAAAATTAGCAGCAGTAGTAGTAGAAGAAGAGATCTGAAACTTTGTAGTAGGAAAGAGTAAAAAGAGAGAAGGGTCCAGAGTCTCAGTACTTCTCGTTAAAGGCCAGGCGAGTGGTAAAGCCCCCCCCTACATCTAGCTCACAAAAAAAGGAAGATGAAAGATTTAACATGAGACTAAAAATAACAAAATCAGAGAAAGATATTTAATTTCTTTGTTCGTTCAGTGCATGTTACTTGTCAGATCTGTCCTTTTGTGCGCCTAAATGTAATCAACCCATCGTATTTTGTTAAAAAAATAACACTTTGTCACCGAGAACTGAAAGTGCGTATTTGCTCCTAAAATGCGTATTTGCTCCTAAAATGCGTATTTGCTGCGAAATACGTTTTCCGAAAAGATTCGTGAAAAAAGTCTTAAATTTAATTATTCGAAAATGGAGGCAGTTCGTCTTTCAAAGCGCAAACCATATGTAGAAAAATTATTTTTTTTAAAAGAAATAAAACCAGTTTTATCAGAAAAAAAAACCATTCGAACACTTTCAAATAAATCTTCAACTTTAAGGTCGAGTTTACTTCATAGCCTAAGACAGGGTCTTATTCAAAAATTGCCTTGTGAAACAATAAAAAATATTTCCTGTTGACGGGGGCTTGGGTGAAAACTTTTTATTCGTAAATGACCTTCGGAATCTACAAAAATCTAAAATTTATTGGTTTTTTTGGGTCTTTGTACCTACGACTGAGTATTTGCTACGCGTGTCGAACAGAACACGTGGTATTTCCTTCACAATGCTTAACATTGTCTACATTTCAGTATAGCTGCCAAAAAAGAAGTGTAAATTTAAGCTGCACATCAACAAAACACATTTTTTAAGTCGTTTTGCGTGATGAAGAAATGCAAAAGGAGAAAAGGTAGCAAATAGGCAGGCAACAATCTAAAGAGAGAGAGAGAGAGAGAGAGAGAGAGAGAGAGAGAGAGAGTAGGTAGCGATCAAACAAGACGACACA